CAGCCTTGACTTTGTCCTTATATATAAGTAACGCCCAGTCTTGATTGTGCCCTTAAAGCCCAGCCTTGAGTGTGCCCTCAATTACACAAAAAGCCACCACACACTGAGACATCGAAGAAGGACGGTATTGAAGGATGTAATAAATTTCTATAATGCCCCGGTGTTAAGTGTAGGAATATCTCACGAGAGAGTTTTAAAAATTCGGAGAAATCCTTTGCTCGTTCCCATGTTTCCCATCCTGCATCCTCCAGTTTGATTTTTCCCTAACACTTTAATCATCAGAAAAATCTTAGAAACTACAGAAATAATTTTGACTTGAAAATGTCAACAAAGCCTTTTCCAAAGTTTTGTTTGAATATCGAACCGGTCAGTAATATACTTTATACTCCGTTTTTGCTAGACTTTTTGATGAAAATGCTCTGGACATTTCTTTTCCTGGCCTGTTCTATCATACATCCGCAGCAATTGTTTTTGTTTAATTACTTCTCTAATTACCTAATTATGAAGGTACAAAGGTTCACTTCCTTAAGCTATACGGTAAATGCAAAAAGAATTCAGACTAAATAGATTACACGTCAGTAATGGAGTACAATGAGATTAAAAAATGACACGTATGGGTTGGTGGTGTTACACACATAAAGATTTGATATGAGAACATACACACAAATATCATCGCATTAGCGAACAACATTCATTCTACATAAAATCAATGAGACGATTACATTTACCGCAGCCGGGAAGCTGGTGAGTAATATTCCCCGAAATATATATTGATGCTGGGAAGCTGGTGAGTAATATTCCCCGAAAAGCGTTATCGCTGATTGCCATTTTTCTTTTATTTATTTACTGGATACCGGGGAACTTTCGCCCAAACAAATGTTCACCTTTCGCCGTCGAAATTAATATTTTAAACAAAACAAAGTGTACCGATATAACTTTACATTAGACCTTTTTATCAACTCGTAATTAATTGTTATCCCAATTGTTATCACAAAAATACCAAGAAAACAAGAGGCCAACTGACCTTAACGGTCACCTGAGTTCTGATAAATTTATACAGAGAGTTGATTTTTGTTTTTAAAACATGAACAGAAATTTTATTCAAAGTGACAACAACAATAAAACCACCTTATTCAATATATAGCATACAGATTTAAGACTGAAAAGTATTTGAAACTAGCACCTCTGATTCTAAACAAGGAAAATGAAGAAATGTTAGCACACTGACCGCCCTACAGTCCTTGGGGGTAGGGCTGGCTCAAAACTTTCAAAGTATCAAACTGTCAACTCAGGGTTATGCTTCCAATCAAGTTATCAACATGTAATATCCAAAGTATCATTTGCCAACTTAAAACCGTTTTATCTATAAAGAGTATTTGATTCTATCATATCTGGGTCTTGAGAAGAAGGTTTTGAAATTTTAGTCAAATTTACCAGTTTTGGCCCCACCCATCAGCCCCTGGGAGTCAGTCAGGGCTGATATGTGCATATCATCAAACTGCTTTCCAATACTGATAATGCTAACTCAAATTGAATTACTTCCAATGGAAATAAAACAAATGTTGGCCAAAAATGTGATTTCCCTATATATATTATTTATAGTTTACCCCCTCGCCAGGGGGGAAATGTGAGATCCCAGGGTCATGAAATTCACAATTTTGGTAAAGCACCTTCAGGCCCTTCCATCTATGAAGAGTACTTGATTCTACAATATCTGGATCTTGAGAAAAATATTTTTGAAATTTTAGACCTTTTTTGGCCCCGCTCCTGGGGGCTGAGGACCATATACTTCACAATTTGGGTTGACATTTAGCCATGAAAGGTTTCTGCAAAATTTCATTGAAATTGGTTCAGGGGTTTGGAGAAGAAGTCGAAAATGTAAATTGTTTACGGACGCACGACGCACGACGCCGGACAAAATACGGCAAAGAGATCGCAACGAGTTCCGAGTTTTCAAAAGTAATTGAATTGATCCGTTAAAAGTGAAAAGTTAAAAGGTGAGGGTAAAGCGATCTAGATAGGGGAGCCGGATGCCACCAAGATATTAATAGGCTTAAAGAATCACGTCAACTAGAAACACCTGATTTTTTTTTCATTTAATAGGAAATAATGAATATATTGAGTTCTGTGAATGTCAGACGAAATCTGGTCCGCAACCGGAGCCCATAAAGTTGCCACATAGAAAACATACAAAGCCCGTCGTCCACCTACATACTGCAGCCCAGATGACCCTTTATATGTGGCAACAAACACAAATTCTGAGAATTTCAGCAAATGGTTTAAATGTCAAAAAGCAAGCTGGGTAAATATGTATGAAGGTACATATAAATAAATCACGTTTACAAAATTCCCCTTCGTTTTTTTCAGATTATGTTTGCATCTAAACAAGCTCAGTTTGAACTTTGAACCGAAAGATACTTACAGTGAAAGGTCATAAATTCATAAATTTTGTTTATAAACAGTTTAGTCCGGAACACACTCTTCAGTACTATTAGTGGCTATTGTCGACATCCGATACACAATTGAATGAACATAAACAATGTTTCGAAACCAGAAACTTTTATCACAAATCTAATTTGGTTTTTCTGAAACAAAATGACTGAATACACATAATAAAACACACGGTACAAGTTAGTGTCAGTATGATATTATATGTAAAATGATATAATATCATAAGTCAAGTAGGAAACCGATACAAATATTGATATACTGTAAATACATAATGCTTCGTTTTTAGGGTTTTTATGGTTTTAGTTGCCTTTACCTTTGGATGCAGATTGGCAAATAAACAACAAGCAAGGGCTTCAGTTTTAAACCTGAACTTCAATAACAAGCATATAGTCGAGTCTCGAATATACTGATGCGACAGAATCTTTGAAAGATGACGAGTTTTAACACATTTCCAGGTTCCATATAGCTGTGACTTTTTACATTCATACATTTTCCAAAGAAAACTATGCCAATGAGTAGTTCTTGAGCATTCACCAAGACTTAATGTGTATATTTATGCACAAAATGTACACAGAAAGTACAGAAAAAGTACTCAATTTGTACACATGAAGGGATTTAAACCAAATGTGGCCCGAAATATACTTAAAGAAAAAGGCATCTTTTAAGGTAAACTGAGGCTTTGGTCCTCTTCATGGCAGAGGGAGGGGCCAATAAGGTAAATTGAGGATCTTTTTAAATCTTTCCTAATTTGTACTTATAAATGGATTTTATACCAAACATGGTCTAGAGCATCTTTATGCAAAGGGATCTCAATTCCATATAAACGGAGGATGCGCCCCCTGGATGTAAAGGATGGAACCCAACACGAGAAATAGGGGGAAATTGTTTCCTTGTGTACTAATAAAAGGATTTCAACTAAATGTGGTCTGAAGCATGCTTAAGGGAAAAACCTCAATTTTGTATCAACTGAGGCCTTGACCACCTATACAGCACAGGATTTGGCTCAATAGGGGAAACAGGGAACACTTTTAAAATCCTTCCCGTTTGTAACCATTTAAGAAATTTAAACCAAACATTTTTTAAAGCTATTTTGGATAAAGGGTTTCCAATTCTATAAAAAAGGAAGGATGTGCCCATCCAAATATAGGGGATGGGGGGTCAGAGGGCGGGACCCAATCAGGGAAATAGAGGCAAAATGTTCTCAGTAGGTTTTAAATTGAAAATCAAATACCAGATGCACTATTAAGGTCCATGTTCTGTTATGTTTCACGTTCAGTACTAAAGATTTTTATGTCAATATTTTCATTGTTTTTAAATCCGTAATTGTTATATCAGATTTGAAAGTACGCTTCAATAGAGCCCTTAACTCCCAGCCTTAATTGTGCACTTGATGTTCAACCTTTGCCGTGCCCATATACAAAATCAACTTGACTTGACTGTGTCCTTATAACGCCCAGCCTTCATTGTGCACTTAAAGTTCAGCTTTGATGGTACCCGAATAATTTGGCTTTTACTGTGCCCTGATATATATTTAACGCCCAGCTTTTATTGTGCCATAAACGCAGAGCCTTGATCGCGCCCATAATGCCCAGCCTTGACTGTGCACTTATATACATTTAACACACAGCCTTGATCGCACCATTAACGCTTACCCTTGATTGTTTTCGAAATACCTTGCATTGAGGGTGTCCTTATATACAATTACCCAGCCTTGATTGCACCCTTAATGCCAAGTCTTGACACTGCACTAAATGCCGAGCCTTGTGTGTGCCCTGAACGCCCAGCCGGAATAGTACCCTTAACGCACTGCTCCAAGAGTAACCTTAACGCCCACCGTTGGTATTGCCCGTAACACCAAGCCTTAATCGCGCCCACAACGGCTACTTTTGATAGTACCCTTAATACCCAGCCTTGACTTTGTCCTGATATATAAGTAACGCCCAGTATTGATTGTGTCCTCAGTTACACAAAAAGACACCACACACTGAGATTTCGAAGAAGGACGGTATTAAAGAATAGTTTAAATTTCTATAATGCCGCAGTGTTAATTGTAGGGATATCTCACTAGAAAGGTTCCAAAATTCGGATAAACTCTTTGCCTGTTCCCATGTTTCCCATCCTGAATCTTTCAGTTTGATTTTTCCCTCCCATTTTAATCGCCATAAAAATCTTAGAAACCACGGAAATGCATTTTGACTTGAAAATATCAGTTTTTTCCAAAGTTTTGTTTTAATATTAAACCGATCAGCGATATACCTTATATTCCATTTTTGCTAGACTTTTTGATGAAAATGCTTAGGGCATTTTTTTCCCTGGCCTATTCTATCATATACCCGCAGGACTGGGACATGTTTATTAACTTCTCTAAATAATTGCTGATGTAACCACAAAATTTCACTTCTATACGCAATACGGTAAATGCAAGTGTTGGAGTATATCATAATATCACAAACGACACATATGGGTGGATGAAGTTTCACACATTAAAATATATATTATATTAGAGTTCACACACATGTCATTGTATTAGCAAACAGAATTCACCCTACCTTAGATCAATGCAACGATTATATCTACCACAGCCGGACAGCTAGGGTGTAATAGTCCCTGGAATAGTCACAATATAGATTGATACAAGCGTTATCGCTGTACCTTTATAAGGTTGATATAAATGCATTGTTGTATTGTTTCACAATTACTTCCTCATTGTATACATATCCGTCCTGGTTTTTTAAACCAAAGTTGGTCTGAAGCATGCTTAAGGGGAAAGGAATCCAATTTCTATGAACTGAGGTTGTGCTCCTTTTTGGCAGAGGGGCGGGGCCTAAAAGGGGAGTATTATGAAATTTCTTAAAAAGCAAACCTTTCTAGAGCATCTATTCTCAATTTTGTATAAAAGAAGGAAATAGACCCATCCCTGAGGGGCAGAGAGTCGAGGCCAAATAGGAGATATAGAGTAAAGTTTTTCTCCTGTACAAATCAAAGCATTTAAGCAAAATGTGTTCTGAAGCATGCTAAGGAAAATAAGACTCCATTTTGTATAAATTGTGGCTTAAGCACGGTGAAGGACAGAAGGATGGGGCTCAATAGGGGAAATAGAGGAACATTTCAAATTCTTCCTCTTTTTTTAACCAATGAAGGATTTTAACCAAACTTGTTTTAGAGCATCTTTGGGGAAAATGTTGTTAAATGTGTATATATAGAGAATATGCTTTTTAGCTATTTATGATATCTTCCGTCATCACTTACTTGTGTAGGTAATAGTTAAAGTGCTACATACATATAATGACTTTTTTGACAATTTTTATGATAAAACGAGTTCCTACCAAGGAGGCAAACGATGTGCTGTATGCGCATGTCCGAACGCACATGCGGATGCTATCTAAATGAATCCGTGTTTGGTCATTATTCGTGTATCTAGTGAATATAAATATTATACTTTTTATTATTCAATTCTTCTCTACAATCTCATCTCATCTGAGTCAATTAAAGTAAGCGCATCCCTCCCTTTTCTTTAAAAAATGCGGGAGATATACGATTGAAATTGACAAAAAAGTACAATAATTTATACTCAAAATTAGCGGCAACACGATTATTTTTGCCTCCAGTTATAAAACTTGAAGCATTGTGAATAAGGATGTACTGCTTGTGACATGAGTAGTTTAAATATATAGGTATTGAGAATTGATAGTTTCCATATTATATATAAGGAAGTCTAAATTTAAAACAAACATAAACTACATTAAATAAACCATTAAACCCATGCCGTTAGAAACATATGTGGTGTTAGAGTGAATGAGTGAGTGTTCAAGATTTTCTTGTGTTCTTATAGAATTAGTTATGTTTTCTTTTTGTGTTTTATAAAAAAAATATCGATTTTCTTCAAGTTCATTTTCTTTTTCATTTTTCAACTCACCTCAAGACATATCTACTTCAAAAAAGTTCGGAAAATAATAATCCAGCCTAATTATTGTATATTACCTCGCAATAAATGTACCCAAGTGTCATGAGATGAGTTGAAATATAATGTATGTATGTACATATTGTATTCAATGTCTTCAACAATCAAAAGTATGCTGGAAGCCATGGAGAGAGCTTATATAGGCAGAGCCTGTTGCTCAATCTTTTTGTTTAATCAATAAAATATATTTGAAATGAAAGGAAGTTTAAATACACATAATTCATTTGTAACATTATATACACACCAATTTGAAGAATCAAGCCTCTTATTTATTTGTAATTTTGCATTGAATCACCTTCTCAGATATAATGTGCATAACGTGTTCCTGACTTTCTCAATGTTTAAAAAAGAATTCCCTGTATTTTTACGTTCGAATAGATCATACATTATGATGTTTTCGTTAAATATCCGTATGCTATCAGGATAGATATCCAAATATGTATTAACACAAGCAATTAAGGGTAAATACCTGTTTTAGTCAATAACATGATATGTCCTATCGTGACGTCACCAAAATGATAACGAAGTGACATCACTCATTTTTATATAAACCAGAAAACCAGCATAGATGACAAAACTTGTAAGAAAAGTGGGTTTTAATCGCAATTAGGGCTTTCAGTACACCATTTAGAGTATTTTTTGCCTTCCCAAAATTATATTTGACTCTTGGGTTAGAAAGGATGTGTTAGTTTGACTTGTGTTTTGAACCTCACAATTTCAGGGAAAATGTCATATGACTTTTAAAACTGCTGAATTGCAAGAATCAGTAAAACGCCCTGCACAATATTTGCAAAAATATATTGGGAAAAAAATATCTAAGTTGCGTCTATATTTCATCAATGTAAAAAAATATACTTAAATTTACTTAATATATGCTTTACCTATGTACATTTCCGGGTTATATACGCTTCAAATAATACAGTATTGTTTCGCATAAAATCATAGAAATACACATATTCGACTGGCCAACATATTGCTAGACTGTAACCTTCTATTATTCGATATTAAAAACCTTCAATATTCCAGCGAGTTAAATTTATAGCAACGTCCCCATTACATTCAAATTTAGTGAATATATATTTGAAATAAATCAAAATTCTACAAACTACTGCATAGTGTTTATAATTATATAGTCAAATTTCCGTGGTTTTGTGATCGAAACATATTCTCGGGTGTTTAAACAAAATCACTTTTGGTTTTAGTTAGCCATAACCGATTCTAGAAAAGAGCAAAACAAATTTATATTTGCCAAGTAAAGCTAGAATTTCAAAAGAATCCGCAAAACATAGAAGCTAAACATTGTACATGTCAAGATGATTTCAATCATTTCTTAAAAGGGGAACGTTTCCGGACAGACCCAGCGAAAGGTGGCGCTGCATACACCGTATCCAACTCGCCACGAATACCACTGGACGACTCTATTTAAAGACACATACACATCTTCATTCACCCCTCCCGACTGGGTGTCTGGTTGGCCGTTTAGGGCAAACAGACATTCGTGGCACACTTGTTCGTCCATGCCTTGGTCTGTGATGATTCGGATGAGTTCGTTACTCACTAGCAACGTCACGTGACTAACGGAATCGATCAGCTGACCTGAGAAGGCGTGAACGTAGTTCTGACTACCGAGACATTTGTCACTCTTGAACAGCCGTATGTAGTTGTTCCATGCCTGCACCTCAGCGTCATTTTGTTGATGACTGGAATCACCAGCTGCGTAGAAAATAATACATGTGCAACATTAAGCTTGAATCAGGGACACATTCCGGACATGTTTTTATAAAGACTAAGTTTGTTTTGAAAACAAACAAGGATTGAAAATGCATTTTGCTAGCTTTCGAAAACGTCTGTTTCATTTGTCAAGAAAACTTATTTTGCGAGCTTCCGAAAAACAATTTTTCCTTCGTCAAGCAACGAGTGCTTGACAAATGAAACGGACGTTTTCGAAAGCTCGAAAATAAATTTTCAGTTCCTGTTTGTGTTCAAAACAAATTTTGTCATTATAATTCATACTAAACTGATAACTCGTTTACCGAATCCGGACATGTTTGTTTATTTATTATTTTCTTCATGAGAATAAAAAATATCGTCCTGCTAATGTTGCTGTTTCTAGATTTATTCTTTCATTTGTTATATACTGACACAGCTTTAATCTGGACTACACAAAATAATTTCGAAATAATAATTTTCGAGATTAACTGGAAGATAAATTATCAATTTAGAAAATTGTGTTGAAACGAAGAATTGTTCTGCAAACATATTTATTTTAAAGTGCAAAGCTAAGGCTGTATCTGTGTAAAAATGAGACTTAACATGGCAACGTTACAGCCGTATTTATGGTGAATCTGCATTGCCTCATAGACATTTTTACAATAAGATTAGTCATATAAAAATTATTCAAGTGGCGAAAATAATATAATTAACAGCTGTACCGATTTACCAATAGCCTAGAAAACAATGTCAACACTTGACCATTTAAGAAAATGAAACGAAGGTAGAATATATATAATCACATGAGATGAAGTAGATACATATTTTATACGTTTACTGTGCTTAACAATTATATAACATTTATAGAAGAGATTGCAATAATATGCAAATATAAGGTTAGGTGTATTCGTTTAACAAAAAATATAGATTCAAGTTACCCCATCCATTGTTCGACACACTGTCACCGACATTAAATATATATTCGCCTCTTGTCTGATCAAGATCAAAGTCCACCTGTAACATCTTCCGACCACACTCCGGGGGGCTGTGACATCCACTGCACGTGCTTTTTTCAAACGTCGCTTTGACAATTACCCCGCGATTGCACTTAGACAATGACCTTAGTGGCGCCTTTCCAAAGTGTATGACCTCCACGCCTTTGATGGACGGAAGAAACTTTGGCTCGTCCTCATCCAAGTGAAGCGTCATTTCTCCGTCAGTGCAACACGGAGTCACACCTGTAGCGTCCTGTCCTGTTGGTGCAACGGCGACTGAAAAATAATCATGATATAAATAATATCCAAATTCGATAAATTTCAGTACAAAATGCATAATAGTTTTAAAACATCCATCAATAATGTATCATGAATTATGTAGATTGAAATTTTAGAATTGTTATGTTTTGTCTATGTCTTTTATAAGTTGTATTCAGGAATATAGAGAAATATACACAGTATATACATGTACAGAACCTGAGATGGGTTTCCTTTTTATAAGTGATTTATCAATCAAGTTTTAGTAATTTTAATTTAATCGAGCCTCATGAAAAACAACGTGACGAGTTTCTTATATCCCATTTAAAACGGAAACAATTTGAAGACGCTTTCTATCTCGTTTTATAATTTGAGATGGTAAAATCGTACGTAAAAATAATGAGCCATATACTCTAGTATTCTGTAGATAAAGGCCATAGTGTTTGAACTAACGACAAAACGACAAAAGATCGCCCGCAAGTGTTAAAAAAGTCATCTTAAAGTATAGTACCACCTTTCTGAAAACTGCAATCGTAAAGAATGGAACGTTCGGATATGAGTCATAAATTGACAGTTTAAAAAAAAAATATCTTTAAAAAAAGTCGAAGATATAGCAAAGTGCTTCAACTATATGTCTACCTGAATATATATTGTACTGTTCATCTCAAGACTGTAGATCTTTATCATACCATTTTGATCCGTAGAGATTTGAGCATGCGCATAAAATGCTACAAAAACCGCCAGAACACACCCAGTCAACTTTGTTACTGAAATACAATATGTTATATCAATGAAAATAATGATACAGTAAATTCTACTTTCAAGAGAATCTTAAACATTCACACAATCAGCAAGTTCCCTTTGTTTAAAAAGAAAATGGTATCCGCTAAATTCGAAAATCAACAAAATTGACAGAACATTATTTAATAGATAAATAAAATACGATTAGTATAGACAGTTTTGAAAACACGGCGCTAAATTAAATGGTATTTAAATTCTACGTCATTTCATGGCAAATAATATTGGCGACATTTTGTTACATTTTAAGATATGCTATCATTATTCTGAAGGTATTTAATCTATCAAAGTCCACATTGAAATGAACATCACAAAGGCGGTCGTACTGTGTACTTTCATGAAAGACTACAATGCATGTCATCACGTTACAAACTCGAGGGATTATTCTGGTGACCGAGTCAGTTAGACGCTTACCAAGGGCCTATATCGGTAACGAGCCTCTAGGAACTCTTTGGAAGGAGTGATTTTAAGAAAGTTCACGACTCTAAAACTAAAGGCGGTTCAAACATCTGGGTCTCATGTAAAGCAGTTTATCACATACCTGACCATTTTTACATTGTCATGCGGCCATTGTGACAAGAGGGATAAAAGGAAATCTTTTGTACTTAAGTGCGAAGGTACATAATGTAAACAGATTACTACATAATGACAAAAGACGTATTTTTGCGTTAAGTACTTTTAGTACTTAAGTGCAAAAGATTTGCACTTAAGTGAAAAAGTTTTTGCCGCTGTGATTTTTTGCCATTATGTCCAGTTTTTTTCACTTAAGTGTAAATCTTAAAACCTTAGGGTGGTGCGATTGGTCAATCCATGGGAAGTTTCCTACCCAACTACAAGTACTACTTTTATTTACTAGACCACATGATATATTTCCTGTTATTTTATACGAATTTGAAATGGTTATTTTGTCTTTATTATTTTCATTTCATTTAAAATTGTTCATTTTTAAAATAAAATCTTGAACTACTTTGCACTGCTCGGAATGACAATACTATGATCGGAGTGGAGTACTTTGGCGTTACACAAAATTATGTTTGATTTTTTTTTTCAAATATTAAATGTAGTGTGAAAAATAGAATCTTACATTCGTGTCTATGCCATATTGAATAAATTAAACTCGTTCAATATATTCAATATGACATGGACACTCTTGTAAGATCCTCTATATATAAATTGGGATTATATAATAACAATTGTTTTTCAAATTTGATGTTAGAAAGAAATTTTTATGGTAGGTTTACTTTATAAAACAAAATCAGTAGCTACTAAAATGGGGTAAGGGGGTTAGCAATTTGTATCTTAAAGCATTAGACACACATCATATATTCATGTATCAGTTTTAAGTGTTTACATGTTCGTGTGCTGGAACAGATGACTTCGGGCGTTTGTTGAACCTTCCAATTATCGTACCAGGCTACACTAATACAACATTAATATAATTCGTTCAGTATTAGTACGTGTGCTTTAGTACCCTGATATACAAGTATACATTCCTACTTAAAATTCGGATTTCAATTTTATCGTACTAATCTGTGGATCCAACACCTGAAATATGAAAACGTATACATAGATGGAAAAACACACTCAAACAAACAAAACAAACAAAAACATTTCAGGAAGGTCATCCTCTTCGAATACTGATTCAATTATATATATAGAACTACATTTGTATCTAAAAATACAGTTTTAGCTTCTATCTCTGCATATAAAACACGTTTTCCCCAACTCAGTCACTTTTTATGGTGCAGGTAACCGGGGGAAACTGTGATAACACGTTGTTCGTTTTAGTTATTTAGTGTGCGATAAAACATATTTTCTACATTCTTCTCATCGTAATTTTAGTTAAACAAAAATAATGTAAATAAAACATTACAAAAATATTAAATATTTTACAGATTTTACTTCACTGCATCAACTTAAGTCCCAATGAACAATCGGGTAAAATGTCAGCACATTAGAACACATATTGAGTAAATAATTTACCCGATAAAACTTTAACGTGACAATTTTGGTTAATCATTCATTCCAAAAAGTAGGGGTGGGATGAGGACTCATTCCAAAAGGATGAAAACACTATAAAAAGATAAGGCTGCACTGGATCATAAACCCCAAATGATCACCTAAGTAAAATATCAGCATACAAATATACATATCTGAAATCAATGGCAAGCATTCATAGTATTTATTCGGAAAACATTCACATGTCTAAAAACTTACGATCATAGAGTGGGAATTACATAATCTAACTTTTCTTCGAGAGTCAAGAATTGGTTAATGCTGTTTTTGCTTCAAAGTTTCGCTTCTGTCATACACGAGTAATATTGATACAAAACAATGGTCCCAAGCTTAAGTATTTTTCGAGACATCTCTAATTAGATTGTGATAATTGTCCTTTTTCTTGATATAAAAATTGTCTGAAATGAAACTAAAAATTAAAGTTTCAAAAATAATATAGTCTTTTTCTTGATATAAAAATTGTCTGAAATGAAACTAAAAATTAAAGAATCAAAAATAATATAACGCAATAAAATCACATATGAAGACAAAATATGAAATTTCACAATTGCGCGTAATAAATTCTACAAAAATATTAAGATGCCAAAAAAGAAATAACAATAATGATAGTAACTAGATACAGAGCAATTTCATGTCAGTAACAACACTTCCTTGTGTTCAAAACCTCGAATTATTTGTGAAAATCACCACAAACATAAAACCAAAACGTCAACAAATATAGATTTTATTGTGAAAATTATAAAATTTACCGTGCTAAAATGAAAAATAAAACAATTAACAAAAGAAAAATATAAGTAAAATGATAACCAATAAATATACGGATTTTTTCAATTCTTTTTTTTTATTTTATTTTCATTCTAATTTAAAAAAAAAAAAAAAAAAAAAATGTTGCCAAAGTTGAATTAAAAAGAGTGAAAATACAAAGATAAGAATTACTGAAAACCAAAAGCAGACTTACCGGTCATGTTGATTTGCCAACTGCTGGTTGAAATAGTTTTCTGTTGAAACTCACAGATTCACATGATGTTGGAGGACATTGCCCGGAGATAGTACCAAGTGGTGTCAAGTGCTAAAACTAACCATACCATAAACAAGATAACCCGTCAATTGATAACTGGATATACAAATTTCCTAGGAATAGTTAGCTTAGCAGAATAATACTGTATTTTTTTTCTAACAGAATTCGATGTAAATATAGTTTTCAAAACTAAAAATGCGTGATTCAAGTATGGATTAATATGAAACTAAACTGAAATTTGATAGCAATAAAAACAAAAATATATAAAAAGTCTAGAAAAAAGGGTATTTTGGAAAATAATGTCAACTATGAGGCTGACAACACTATTAATAATTATTGGCTAATACTGTTTTGATATCTGTTATATATATGTAATTTTGTAGCATACTATTACTTTATTTTTCTGCATATCAAATCAAACCAATTTTATAAAAACAGTTTGCTTAAAAATACTCGATGATATTAACTCGGTAGCATCGTATTCAGTGTAATTATGGGCGCTTCATACTGACAGATTTTAAAAGGGTCTACAAGCTGACTATTCTAACTGAGTCGTACTGGTGATTCATTATCCGGTTACTATGTAGTAAAATGTAAGTTATTAACAAAACTCTCATCTGATAGTGTTAATATTGGACTGGTACAATATGATACACTCTCCGATTTTCACTTGATAATTTTGTCTTTTAGATTTACTAAAAAAATAAAGTTTTAGCTATTCACATTATCCTGTTTCACTGAAGTCGCTCAAGTGTGAAGAGCATATTAAGTAAAACCTGTCTTATCTGGCCCTGAATAATCTAAAATCCTGTAATATCCAACATACAGTTGTAATCTCATTTCGTTTCAAACGAAGTGGTAAAAAAGCGTGTATTCTGGTAGCCTATTTAATCCAACCAATTTGCTGGTACTAACAGCAAGTCGTATTAGACAGGGTTCCCGAGATATTTTTAATCACTTGTATGATAATTAATATTTCTTTGTTTACTTCTGAGAAAGGAAAAATCTGGTATCCCGTTTATCTTAAAGCTTTGAAATACACCATCGAGATAACACAGATCGACTTACAAGTACTAAGAACAGTTTCTATTTCGTGCAGTGTTAGCTTAGTAATTGTAGCATGTGCACATTTTTTTTATATTGTAAATAAACGTATTTTGAGTGAACAGCAGACAATTGCATTATATTATACCTAAGTAGGTTTTTGACAATATCATCACAGTATAAGCAATCACGATTTCAACAAATGAGCTAGAAATTGAAAAGGTAACACTGCAATAAAACTGACATCCAATGTACGTATTACACGTGTCGCAACGTTGAAGACCGACTGGTCTTTTTGTCAAGCTATGACTGAGTAAGCGATTTGAATTGTTTACCTGTACAACGATGTGACGAAATTGTATGTTTCATATATATGTCACTCGGGCGGGACGTTTCGCCTATCGATAGATAGTGTATACACACTGTATCGAATAGGTTACTGGTATGGTTTAGATCTAGTCCCATCCCCCTACTAACGGCTGTGTATCAAGTAAAACTATTACATGTTACAAACTGATTAATTTAATTGAAAACGCAATAAATATTTGTTTTTTATTTACATTATATTGTGTTTGTGTATGTTTGTAAACACTTAATACACCTCATGTATACTTAGGACTAGTTAGTAACGGAGTCGATATCTTAATTATTATTAAAATTGTTTAAACGGCTTCCTCATTGGCCCATTCATACCCTAACACTGGATAGATAATGCTTCATTATAATATCGCTAAGTCATTTAAACGGAGAAAACCTTTTTAGATATTTTACCAATGGTCATATCGCGACAGGAAATTATATTTTTTTCTGGTTTATAACATCACCGAGATTGTTTCCCTCTACTACAAAAATACAATTTCTTGTTTTGAACAACATTGAGGAATTTATTTTGATAAAGATAAATGAATGACGTCAGCGTATTTTTGTAATAAAGCTATTTCCATTTAAAAAGTTTTACCAGCAGATCATCAGCAGTACTGTATAAAGACGGTAGATATTACCTGTTCTTACTTTTAAGGGTCTATTAACGACTTTTCCGGTGTTAGACTAACTTGTCATAATTAAGTATTTGACACTCTACACTTATTGTGTGACATTAAAATGACAATAATTGAATGTTACATTTTTACAATCAGATAAAAATTGTATTACAACGCAATATTTTTACCTAAACATTTTCGTTTTAGGAAAGGGAGACGATTAGTCATTTCCTCTTAAGGTTAAAGAATTTTTTTTAACCTATCCCTTTGGCAAACTTCGGGTGTTATTGATTTAAGAATTTTAACCCGAGGGTTGAAATTTTGGTCACCTTGGGCCCGAGGGTTTGTGAGGGTCTAATTGACTCAACTAGTAGTTGCATAATAAGAAAAACAACAAAATTAAGTAGAACAATATGGTTTTAAATTGCCATATTTAATATCTGTATATGAAAGGAATGTTGCACAAACACCAGTTACCTCTGATGACTCCTTGTGCCTACTAAATATTGGACAATACTTCCTCAAAGATAACCGTTACTCAAGTATTTACGGCGTCAGTTATCTTCTTGACCATTATACCCCTTCCACCTCGTATTTTGTTTCGATGCATGAAAGTAGAGGCCGATTTTTAGACTTTGGCCCCCCTATTGCTGAATTTCATGGTTTTGTTTCTTTAAACGAAAGACATTCTATGTCAAATTAAATTGTCAGACTGAACAATATTACTATTTAAATTGGTATGAAAGTCTTAAACTTGTTAAAACTAAGATAGATATGGGAAATCAGCTCCAAAATGTGATGTTCTCCGTTGCAGCTGGTGTTCTAATTTGCGAGACCAAAGCGTTTTGAAAGACACATTATTTCAACAATGGTCATACAAATTAAGTAAGTATGATTGAGATAAAGGAATTCTAGAAAACGAAGCTCTTTTGATTGAGTTAGTGTTGATTTTGTAAAATTGAAACACAGGTACGTACGATTGGAGACAGAGAGTATATGTGCATATACTCTTTGAAATCATTTTGTTTTCCTCGTATATTAATCCCTCATCGGTAGTATCTGATAAGGCTCTACATTTGTAATCTATCCGTTAGTCAGTCTGCGTTCTGCCACTTTGTCTGGGGCATATTTCACAAACTGTGACACCTACAATGACCAAATTCAGCTAACATGGCCAAAAGCTTATGTCACGGTGCGTAGTCCGTCGTACATCCATCCGTCCATCAGTCTACAATGTTTTCCTTTAAATATCTCCTTAGAAATAACCCAGAGTTCTAGGATGATGATACCTAGTCTGTAGCCAAGTACTACAAATCATAACATTTGTATTGTAACGGCGATTCGTCCTGGTAAAGCAACAGCTAAAGTAATTTAAGGGCGTACCTCCAAGTGTGTAATGTATGCATGGGTGTCGGAAGAGGTATATTGGTGTATTTGCCTCATTGTGACAGTGCATATCTGATTACCTTAAATGCAGAACGTTTTGCAGGGAACAACCATTTCAATTTTCACGGTTTTTTTTAGGTCCCAGCCTGGAGACATAATCTAGGGAAAACACTTAGATAGTTTAAGTGTATACAAATTTTAGCGTGTAGTTGAGATTACGTAATTAGAAGACATTGACTTTTTTCGTAACTGATATAAAAAATGTTTTCAAATATATTTCTTTTGAAATTAAGCTCAAAGGTGGGGTATTTTAATTAAGAAATTCATTATTTAATTACGGTTCTAGATTTCTAGCCACCATCATCGTCATCAAGTCAATAAACCATCCGCCGTCTGCTGTCCGTTTGTCCGTCCGTTCTTCATTAAACAATTCTTGTTAGCACTATTTCTCAGAGAGGACTAAAAGGATCTTTTTCTATTTTTAAACTGATCAGAAAACAAAGATTGCCGACAAGCAGCCATCTTGCATTTTCAGAATTAATGTTGGTTAATGCGCTTTCTTTAAGGTTTCACATGGAGGTTCCCCACGCCCCTTAATATGCATATTGATTTATTTGGACTTACAGGAAAACCAAGATGGCCACCAGATAGCCATCTTGAATTGTGCCAGTTCAATTTTGTTTTATATGACCGTTCCCCTTGAGAATACACTCGTCATCGTTAACACTTCTAATTATTTTTTTTGCTTTTTGCGTATAGTTTTTGATTCTTAAAAAAAAACATTTGTCATGTTAGCAAATAACAAGACATTACGAGGTTTAAGTTAATATGCAATATTCCCGTTTAGGATTTCCAACATTGGACTGGGTAATAGTACTTGTAAGGAAATGAAGAGCAAAAGAAGTAAAAGATTATATTTTTGTAGATCTGATGAAGATCCTTTCATGGTTGGCGCCAAGATCCTTCTAGGATCTCTTGTTCCATAATGGTATCAACTCATCAAACAAAAAGCGCCCCTTTTTTGCTTGGAGTAAAATCTACCAACCACTTTTTTTGTCCATTTACTTAGCGATTCGATATATTGGTTGAATTCAATCTCTGGACAAGTTTGATGAAGTTGATGAAATAGTTAAGTGATGTAGCGTCTACGAAAAGACTGCAAAAGCTGAATGGAGAACTTCAGCAATATCATTGATACAAAGCATGCAATACTGATTTATGACTTATTCATTAAAATGTTATTTTATTTTCATAAGAGATCATTGTTGTTCAGCAAGGCTGTTTTGGAGTTATTATAAGTCCATAGTAAACGAAACACGCATTTTTGTAACTTGCATTTAAAAAAATAAAATAATACTTGGAGTATTCTATATTCTTTTGAGTGCACGAACGATTTAGTGAAAATTCATTTTTGGTAAGATATATTCACAAATGTATCCAAAACCTTATGACAAAAACCACATTTCGTGCAATGTAAACTGAACAGTAAGTAGTGATTCCATTATTCTAAACAACATTAATTTTGATATTTTGTATGTTTGCCCGATTACTATATGGTTGTGAAAGAAAAGTCGTCATAAATGGTCCTTTTCTGTCAATTAATAATTATTTAAAAAAAAACTATTTCTCGCCTCTCTGTACTATTGAAATATTCGATTTACCTGAATACAAAATAATTGTTTTAATAAAAATGTATCTAAAGGGTCATGTTATTGTATCAATATCTGCCAAAAACAGAGAAAAATACACACATTTTGATTTGATATATATAAAGTTTATTTATTTACTTATAATAATAATACAACATGTATATAGCGCCCTATATAATTTGTAAAATTACTCTAAAGCGTTTTACAACATAAGGATAATAGTATTAGTTATAATTGTGAAACAAAAATGGCTTACAATCACCATTATATACTAAGCAAGAAGATAATCATCGCAATGTGCACTTGGTGAAAGGCAAGTGCGCTATCCAGTGCGCCTTCTGCACACACATGTTTGACCTCAATGTTAATATTACATGCTAAACGATATCATCATTTGCTTTTCTCCATGTTGATAACTTATCAAATCATCTAAATATCATTTTCGTATTTCCGTTCCAAGCTTTTAAAAATTAAATGTATGTTAAAGTGCAAGAAAAATGTTGATCTTGATTTGAAATTAAAGTACTTAATTAAGCCCATTACGACAGCTAGAAAAATTAATGAGGAAATAAGGTAAAAAATAATTGTTATATTTATCAATTGTTTGCATGGTTACGCCATGCCGATTGGTTAGTGGTTGACGAATGAGATATGTCGTTGGAGTTTGAAATGTATATATAACCTCCGTCAATATCGTTTCTAACAATCCAAGTTGCCGTAGGAGGGAACATCCTTGAACTTACTGAAAAAGACATCAGCGACAAAAGCATTATAAAGTGACACCATGTTTGGTAAGTTCTAAGAGATCTGTAAATTGTGAACTTGACGCCGTTCATTTTCTATTGAACAACTGTATTCTTATGTCACCATTACAGGCAATGGTGACAGATATCTTCATTTTTTATTTATTTTTTTGTCGGGTGGGAGGGGCTTTTAATTGTTTCATATGTAAATAAATATCTATATGAGTACAATAATAACATCATTTAGTATCAAGATAATAACAACTGTGTATAAATGATGTATAAGTAAGATATTTGAGTTACTGTATGTTATATAATATGATCATAAACAAGAAAAAATATTGTTTATCAGAACAAGACAAAAATTTCGGGTATAAATAAAACTGTATGTTTGGTCAAATTTCAGGAATCTTGTTGAAAGGTTTAGTCCTTGTAACTTTAGCCAAACGTTATGTTGCCCAGGACCTAGAAGAGAAAAACAATACAAGTAAGTTTATACATATATTATTGATAATCATACGCTTGCGATCATCTACGTTTGTTTGCAATGTATTGAAAACGGAAGAAGTCACTTGATATATGACACGTGAACACTGCCTACACTGAAGCTAAACCATCTTTGCTGATATATTTAGTGTAGATATTACATACTTAGTGTTAATTCAAACTAACATTTGTTCATATCCGGAAGCTTATACTTTATCAAATCAGCTTTCAAACGTGAACTTTATAATGCTGTGTTGGCCCATAGCACCACTCGATAAAATCTTATAGCGTAATTTATTTTTGGCACACTCAAGCAATTACCAAGTTTTAAATGTACAATCATATGTGTGTCTCACGTTCGTTTTCAAATGATTTTATTTCAGTTGGCCACGTTACAATCAAAGTTGGATATAATTGAAAGTTTTGGTTTAAATGAAATGTGACATTTGATATCTGAATTAATATATTTTTGTAATCTTAATTTTTCGTTTTTTTAACAACAGAATCAAAATAATTTACTATCATGTATGCTAAATATCATTTTAGATAATAGCATCATACAATTAACTATCATTAACTCGTTCCCAGAAACGGAGATCAAGCCTTGTTGTGTGGAAGGTGTGATGAAATTCGACTTGAGTTCCGAGTCTCCCAAGTTGCCATTGAGCATCGACAAAGTCGAGGTCGTTTATGATAGGACAACTCGAGCTCGCCAAAGTCGAAGTTGTAATCGTGAGGTAATCCTCAGGGCTAACTTTGAAAAGACTGACTGTGGCTGTCGTGTGCCTCCAGAATGCGGCCGGAAGATGTTAAGAATTGACATGGAGATAAGCTACAGTCGGGGTTTTTATTTATTCGCAATGGGGGACAGCGTTTCGAATGATGGATGGGGTAAGTGTTTATGTTTTTTATCGTTCATATTGTAATTTTATACATAATAGATTAAGGCGTGTAGTCGCAAGCTATTGCCATCACTTTTTTTATAAGCTCGCGGATATCGAAGAATGCACATGTGATAGCTTCGCAACCTAGAGGAACTATTGCACGTAAACAGAATGATAAATCTGGACAAACAGTCTATAAAATGTGTGACAACGGACGCAAGTTCGCTTTTCAATTGTCAGTAGTTTTCGTACTTTTCGATAAACCCGGTCTGATTAAAATGTAGCAAACTTGGTTATCTGCTCATTTATAAAACGAGTTCAATATTTGAAAGGGCTGTGGTATATTTTGATTCTATATTTATTATTAGGAAAAAGAGAGTAATATAATATTTCCTTACCTTAGAGATAAGCATAATCTCCACCCTCGGGGTAAGATTCTTAAATTCTCAATTTCTACTGTGCAATACCAAGACATTTAAGAATCTTATCCCAAGTATGAATTATTTTTGTCATACTCCAAAAGTGGAGAATAGTTATTTTTCTCCAACTTCAAATATAAGAGTGGTTGAATGAAACACAAGATATATTGCATTGTTTTCTAGCAAACCCAATGAGTTATTTGTCATGATCTGCGATATTTGATGTGACATAAATGCATTGTTGACGTGACTCCATACAATTGTTACGAAAGGGGAATCCCCTCGTCTTAACCCTTGTGTAAGACAGAGATATCTTTCCCTGACTGGAGGTATGGATAGTTTAATGGGGGAGAAAAATCTCAATCTCGATTCCAGAACGCAGGCAAACACCCTATACAACAATTAATAAACTGTAGGGTGTAAGAGACAAAACCATGAAAAAAAAATTAAAAGCATCTGTATGTATTTAGATGTTGGTTTAAAGATAATAAAGGTAAAATATCAGGTAAAAGAACGATTTTTTAATTCAGCTAATTGTCATTTTTCAAGAAGATGTTTGGGAATAATATTATTGTTGCATATTCTTTTACTTTAAAACAAATTCAAGTCATTTAATAAGAAGTTTCTTCCTGTCAGTGTTGATTTGGGTTTATTCATGGTCCATGTGGCTTCCCTTTTGTTTCGAGTTCGAGTTTTGATTAGGTTTTTGTTAGTTTTTTTTTAAAATACTGTTCTTATTTACTTTAAAATGTAAATTTGTTATATGTTAAACTCATTTGTCTATTATTAATGGGCGTATTTACATAAAAAGACTACACTTTGGTGAATGAAATAAAACGTTCAGGTAAAATAGTCTTTCTCTTATCACAATCTTACTGGATTAAAGTTTTTTCATTTTTATTTATCATACCTCTAAAAATATATATGCCAACAAAGTACATATTATTGTTACTTTTTAACCACCTAATTTATTTATCTTAATTGGATCATTCAAATTTTGAAATCTTTAAAAAGAAGAAAATATTTGTTTAGGTTACCTGTAAACAATAATGATTACTTTACTAGCTTGAGAAAAAAACGTTCTACAAGGTCAAGGATGTCTTCCCTTCTGAGAACAATAATCAGGGAATATCTGGATTATCATTTCATAGTTTATGAAAGACGAAGGTTGGTGCCTTAAAAGTGTTTACCTTTGCCGACGATTTAAAAAAAAAATCTTTTAATTTATGGTTGGTCACTCATTTCTTTACTGTCATTATTACTCCTCCTCCATTGCAGGTGGTGACAGCGGTAACCAGCAGAACGATGCCGAGTTTTTTGGTGTCAACGACTACTTCTTCTTGTTCAAGGGAGATAAATGTCTGACAAATTCAAGTTATGCGACGCTGTTCGCTGGTACATTGACACCAGGCGTGTTTAACTACGTCACGGTTTTTATCAGTAACGAACATATCCGAATCATCAATAACTATGGAGTAGTAGACGAGCAAGTCTGTCATCAGTGTCTGTACGCCCTGGCTGGCCAGTCCGATTCTGAGGGATCGGTGAACGAAGATCTCTATATATCGTTCAACCGGATGATACGCGTGAGCTCGGGACGAGTAGGATATGGTGTGTGTTCTGCAACTGTCCAATGGGTTTGCCCATATACATTTGACAACTGATTTCACTCCGATACTGTACATTATTATTGTTTCTTTATTTCGTACAGCTGTCTAAATCCCGAAAATATATATTTCGTTTGGGGTTTTATTTTGTCTTTCCTTTTTTGGCGTCGACACACCTCCTTTTGCTTTCAAGTTTAATCTATTTGTCTTTTCCTTATTGCATTAGCACAGCTTGATGTATATTTATCGACTTTACCCAAATAGATAACGTTTTATTTCAGTCTTGATTATATATTCTTCATATTTTGTTTTTGTGTGGTCTTTCGTAATTTTTATCCTACCATGACATTACAAATTCTTTGTATTTTGACGTTTCCGGTTTTATACACCCTTCCCCTATTCTTCTTATGGTTTGCAGGTGCAGTAAATTATGAAGAATTTTTCGATATTTTGTTTGGACTGCACTGAAAGATGTGGATGTGCTTTGTTTTTCTTTTTGTTAAGTTGTATAGTAGTTAAGATAAAGGAGAGTACAAATATCGGTGCATGATTTGATGTTATAAATTATATTTTTTGTTGGTAACTTATTTGTCGAGACAATTCTCTACCAGGTAAGATGTACTCTAGAATATTTATATATATTTGTTTTCTTTAAAAATAAAAAAGAATTAGTATTTCATTTCATATCGGTTTACACAGACAAAATGGGCGATATAGTTACAAGCTCGATCGGTATTTGTTCTTGATTAGACTACATAAAGCATAGTTGTATTTGATTTGTTTACCATATATATACAGATGTATAGACAGAACCTCTTTATCAATATATTAGTAAGTTCAGATCAAAGCCGTCTCTTGAGAATGTCTCAGCATAATACAACCCAACTATGATATACCGTGTCAACAATTTACTTATGATCAGCTCGGGTCAAAAATTGTCTTTCAACAATGTATGTCAACTTGGCAGTAGATCAATCCAAAAATTACATTATCAAAGCATAAAAGGTATGTATTCACTGCTAGTTGCCTTTGTAATTATGTTTGATTGAATCATGCCTAACTGATATACGGTCTAACCTGTCTTTGTCACCCTCTCACGTCAGGTAATGTATTATAAAGTTAAAAGTGACACAAAAACTGCATTTGGAAGCTTTGGAGTTGTCTATTAACACAGGTGGTCTCTCCGAACGGGTTTAATGCTTTTAGAAGTATTTAACTTACATGTGCTACTTACATACTTTTACCTAGTTTACACGGAATGTAGTTATATATAGCAAGTACAATTGTACACTCACTATAATGTAGTTATATATATAGCAAGTACAATTGTACACTCACTAATGTACACGGAATGTTTAATAAACTGCTGATGTCACTAAGGGTTGTTTGTTTTTTTCTAAATCATAGTCATCAATTATTGCGATTGTCTTTCACATTACATATTGGTGAGTGTCACGAAAGGAACATCGACGGATATTTATCTCCCGATAAAAATATATTTCAATATTTGATCGTTTTCATACACATCAATCGCGAAAATGTTGTTGTGAATTAATGGTCTGATTTAACTTCCGTAAAATCAGGGTTACCGTCGACACTCACTAGATTTTCTTGGCTTTATTTATTTTTCAAACTATTTTGTTACTTTCATTCCTTCTAATCCTTCTTTTTTTGCGATTGTTAATCAAACGATTTTTCGTGAAAATTCGAATTTTAAAAATTAACAGTAACATACGCTTTGCTGACTTTTAATGTACATTACATACATTTTAATTTAAATATTTCTAATCAACTTTTCTCAAATATCAGACAGCGAAAATAGCTATCCTGTAAAATGCGAGTGACTTAATTACAATAAATGTTGAAATATAAAACAAAAGATTTCATTAAAGATGAAATAATCATATTGAATGCATTTTTATTCATATATAAAAGTAGTAAAAATAAGCATTTTATTATCAATATTTGAAATTCAACATCATATGACATAACAATAAGGGTGACGTTTTATCCAACATTATCATTTACACCGACATACATAATAGTAGATACAAATTTCAAATAAGATGGTTAAAATTTTTTGAGAAAGATGTTTGCGTTCTTTCCAAAACCAATACCAAAATATTTCTATGACGATTCGTGGTGAATGGGGGTGATCTATGCATTTGGTATCACTTTTGGTGTCAAAGTAAAACATAATGCGTTGTTAAGATAACGCATCTTTTGTACCTCCAATTGAAGAGTTCTTTTCCTTCAATCGAAAGTGCATTATAAGTCAGGTGGCAATTATATCAGCCAAAATTACAGAAGTAAGTAAATATATCGTTTATTCCTTTTAATTAGGAATGTCGTTAATAGAACTTAATATCAAAGAAAAAACCCAGGAAAACTACAATAATTTTTGGAAATGTCTTGTTGAAATTTAAAAGAGTTCATGGTTCAAAATTAAAAGTCTTGCATAAAAAGGTCATGTTTATTTCCAGGAAACCACTGACATGTACATTTATTTCATCTTATCGACAAAGTATTATGTTGGTAAAGTTATGGTTGGCAGTGTATACAAAAAGATCAATATCACAAAGTTAATACATATATACAATTCCAAAAGGCAAAAATATAAATAGTGTCAATTTGGTAAGATAAATTACATTAAAACGGTTTAAATTAAAGACATGATTAGAAATCACACAGTAGTAGTAATGTGGTTCTGTATAAGACAATGCTGTATTCTACAGTGACATTTGAATTCTACGTCAAGCTGTTTTATCATGTTATATAAATAAATCACAAAACAGGGTAGCATATCTATAAAAATAGTCTGAATCGATCAATTTGTTCATTGATTTGAAATATGTTCGGAATAACTCTTCTTACAGAATTGTGCATGACGATATCAACATAAAACCTGGTATCATATATATATCAAAATATTCTGAATGTATCAATTTGTACCTTGATTTCAGATTCATATGAAATATTTGCTCTAACAGGCATTTTATGAAGGTATCAACATCAGTTTTAACTACTATTGGCAATGATTTTAATATTTTTACGTTCGATACTTTTCTTGAAGAAGGGACTACTTTATTATCAAATACAATGATAATAACAGTCAGATATAATTTTCAACTATCCATATCAATTTAGTTTAAACATCACCAGCTCCTCCGTCGACCAGTCTAGTACCTCGTCTAACATACTTCTGGCTCACACCAAGTAACCCTGATTACTAGAAGTAACAGACATTTAAAACGGAAATAAAAAGAGACTGTGGGATAATTACTAAAGTTATAAAGTTGTACTAACTTCAAAGTCAGAACATACTAGGTTCTCATATAAGTTTTCAATGAGTAGGTAGGGAGTGTTTTACTATTTCTATAAATGCAATATTTAGAATTAAAAATACTTACTTTCTAGGATTTTTCAAACAATTTTTTTTTTTTTTTTTTTTAAATGATCCCTTTTTTAGTGAGTTGGTCGGAAAACCCGTAATAAACAATTTGTTTTAGGGATAGCCTGATACAAGTTGAAAATAATCTGAACCAAGATAATGTTACATACCACAGTTTCAATCTTTGGCACATTTTGGTTCTGCTGTTGATACAAATATCTTCTCTGCAATCTTGAAACAAGTCACGAAAAAGTCAATGGCTGTCAAGCGATTCTTTTGACCTATTCTACTCATATTATCTGCATAATGTCACCTTAATTTTGCTATAACACATCCCAGGGGTGCAGAGAAAATATGTGTATTGAAAACGGAGCCAAGGAACTTGGAGGATGTAGGTCAGGAATCCACAATTTCATGAAAACTTTCTAGGCAACATTGGCTATTGAAGACACCATGGTATGCACTTGAAGAAAAAGCTTATATAGCGCTACACCTCCAAGATAACATATCAGACACAAGCTGTTCTAAACATTAATTGTAAGACCTTAAACCTTGTATTACACCTTCACTGGTGTTAAATAGCTATAAGATGATATATTAACCTTCTTTGTCTACAACATAGACCAAGATTAGCAACACAACATTTAGTCTACACACCAGAAAATAACACGATTGTTAAATTGAAGAAAAAAAAAACACCATTTGAAATTAAGTTTCAGGACATGTCACACAAGGGAAAAATTCACAAGAAATCTGCTTTGTAAAACTTTCCTATATTGTGCACAGCAACGACACGAATCACTTGATGAGTAGAATTCAAATCAAAGATGAAGAATTAAAAACTATTCTGACCTTTACACTCATGATCTATGTTCAAAGATTCTACCATAATGAAAATGATCAGTGAGTTGTCCTCTCATCTAAGTGGAAATGCATGATAGTCAGCACGTTTAGAGAAGCAAAAAGCTTCTGTTTTAGTTCCATTCTATTCCGCAATACATCAACAGTATTTGATTCGACATGTAAAAAAGACAATATTTACAATTCATTTTTTAAAAACATTTTAATTATTTACAATGCCTCATAATTCGAAGATTTTCCATTAAACAGAAACTAAAAAGAGCATGGAACGGATTAGAAATGGTTTACCATAGTTATCAGGTTAAAGGAGTATACATGCATAAAATTGCAAAAAGTGTTATAGAGATATGTGACTGATATATAACAAATACATACAAGGAATGAGCAAACAGTGCATCAGAATTGCATTTTGAGCGTTTAACAACAACGATGTAAAATGAAGTGGTGACATGGTTCACATGTAGTAAGACCAGTCCCAAGGACCTTGTAGCGATCCCATTCTCTAATTCCATGTGGTTTAAGTGTCAATAGATGGATATTTCAGGGTTTACAAGATTACTTTCGAGAGAACACTTAGCGTTGACTCTTGGGTTAAAACATAACATGTCTAGTTGACATGTGTTAACCCTTTCACCCCTATGTAACTTTCGTAGACTCTACCATGCATTGATATGGATGAGTCCATTGTAGTCTACAGTGGTGAAAGGGTTAACCTTTGAAGTTTTAGTGAGATTGTTCTTCTTAAATAGCTAAATGCCAAGAGTTTACTGAATTTTTAATTACCTAGGAAATCGGTCCATTTTTGTCAAATATTGAAAATTTCAACAACATTCAAACTGGCAGTCTAGATCATACCATAACCGTGGGCCAGAGGGACAGCCCCTACCCGTCCTTACCCCACTTTCATTTTGAATCTATCTAACACATGTATCAATATGACTTTTAATCCAAGCAAAATTTGTGGAATAAGACACTGTAGGGAGGTAAGTGTTTCAGTGGGATATTAGACACATTTTAAAAATCTGAATGAAAGGAACAATGACTGGTTATTGTTATATCAACAAACCTTAAGAAAGATGAAATATGATTTACATTATGTAATCAGATATAAACATAGTACTGTATTACTGTATTCCAACTGCAAAAATTGTTAAAAGTTCAAAAATAACAATGTCAAACATGAAACTTCTTTATCTCACAATAAAAAATATCCAAAACCTACACCGGAATTAATTGAAAAAGGTCAAAGTTCACCAATGGTCAAAGTTACGATAAGTATAAAAAAGATATTTAAGCCTGAAAATCCAGGTGAAATACATTCCATCACAGTAAGTTCAAGGGTCAAAAGGTCAAGCAAAAGGCAGAAGACTGGTCAACTTATAAACCGATGTTAACTTTATCTGACCAGCCTTTGACCTTGACATGTAAGAATGAGCCTAAATCCAGATTGATTTACGCCTTGTGTCACGAGTCTTCCTCCAATGTAGAATCAACGCGTGCCTCAGAAGAAATTTTCCTGAAAAAAATATGTACAAAAATGCATTCAAAATATTTTTATTAATTTTATATATACTTACTATCAAAACTACATTATGATGTCCTTTATTTGTAATAACAGATATGTCATACAATTGTTGTCATTGAGATATTGTAAGTGGTTTGTTGTCGTTGAGATATTGTAAGTGGTTTGTTGTTGTATAGATATTGTAAGTGGTTTGTTGTCGTTGAGATATTGTAAATGGTTTGTTGTCGTTGAGATATTGTAAATGGTTTGTTGTCGTTTAGATATTGTAAGTGGTTTGTGGTCGTTGAGATATTGTAAGTGGTTTGTTTGTCATTGAGATATTGTAAGTGGTTTGTTGTCATTGAGATATTGTAAGTGCTTCTTTTGTCATTGAGATATTGTAAGTGGTTTGTTGTCGTTGAGATATTGTAAGTGGTTTGGGGTCGTTGAGATATTGTAAGTGCTTTGTTGTCATTGAGATATTGTATGTGGTTTGTTGTCGTTGAGGTATTGTAAATGGTTTGTTGTCGTTGAGATATTGTAAGCGGTTTGTTGTTGTATAGATATTGTAAGTGGTTTGTTTGTCATTGAGATATTGTAAGTGCTTTGTTTGTCGTTGTGATATTGTAAGTGGTTTGTTTGTTGTTGAGATATTGTAAGTACTTTGTTTGTCGTTGAGATATTGTAAGTGCTTGTCCATGGAGGGAGAAATTGTAAAATCTTTTTTCAGAAAGAAGTAGGGAAAACTCTGTGTTATATATGAGAAAATTGAACCAACTACAAGTTAAACACGGACTTGTTGAGAAGGGAAATAACTCTATCCTTGTGCATGTGAAACACTTCAGTTGCTTTCCCATATCGTGGTTGAAAGAGTTTTAGATGATGAAGAAATATTTTGTGATAAAAAACGCACTTGGACCGGAACTTTGCCATGCTTAAAGACAGAGCTAAATATGCTCAGTTTCAGAGTTTAGTGACAAATAAATATAAATATGTACAGAATAATATATCCCTATTTCTTATGTATACTCAATTTCATAACATTTCCTGAGAGATACATGTGAATCAACAATGTCTTATGCAGAAATAATGCAAACTAGGGACTCAGTTTTTGGTCAGGCATATCTGGACCCCTCCATATGCATGTGCCGATTTTTCCAGGGGTAAGCCTTAGTTTACATATGAAACTCGTTTTCTGTTCAAATTCAGCTGGTTTAAAAGGTTGAACCAGTTATGCGAGAAGGGCTTATTAAATCAAGAAGAGAGGTAAATCTGTTGTGTGTTATAAGTACATGTGATACACTTACTATTTATATGTGTGTGACAACTGTATCATTCATTATAAAGCCTTGTTTTGTTTGCAAGACTTGGGGAGACTTCCATGACAGTTGATATTAGAATAAAAGAAAATATATGAAATTGCCATAGGTAAAGTAAACATCAATAACTAGAGAAAAAGTATAGAAGTAGATTAAACTACCTGGTAATATGAATATTTGTCTTTTTTATCAATTTTTTTTCCCCAATATATTTTTCATTGTCTGCAATTTTCGTTTTAACATCACTTACCTTTTCATAACATCATGGAATGAATCTGGGGCAGAATGTGATCTCCCTTTTTGGAACTCTTCTTTCACATGTGACTTGTCCCGGTAGGGATTCCGGAACGATTTATGTTTTAGTATGCTCTTCACTAATATCTGGGAAGGAAGAAAAATCAGAACGTATTTAATGTTGTTCATCTGTTTTCTCTCTTTAAATATATGTATTGAAATCTGTCTTTACAACCAATACACTGCTTAAAAGGCACAACAGCAAACCAATTTGCTGTTTATTTATTTATTTTAAACAAGGTGTGAAAGTAGATACATTTGTTTCAATGAATAACACCCCTAACTAAATCAGCCTGATAGAAATTGACAATAATTTGAATCCTAATAAATTGTTATATACCACAGTTTCAATCTTTGGCACATGTTTGACAACGTTGTTGATATCTTCCTGCGTGACGGTGACGAGGATGCAGTTCTCTTCCTCCGTGGGGAGTGGGAACTCGCCGTCCTTCGTCACCCAGGGGTGTTCCTATAAACACAATATGGGAACGATTCAGTTTGCAACGTCAACTGACAGGTTAGATCATTTACATTCCTGTTTGCAAGAAAAAAGTTACAAAATTATTAGTATCTTACCGGAGGAACTTTTGATTCCTCAAGCCTTTAATTTAACCCTTGTACTAGGGGCAGTCATCTAAAGACTTAAGAATATAATGAATAACGAATGCAAATTTTTTATATAACATGTTTGTATTTTCAAAACTTTATATAAAAATATTCAAATTTAAGTCCTTTTGTATGGGTATTCAAAATGACTATGTAGTGACAATAGAAATGTAAGCCGTTGTCTAACTTATATCTCTCCTGCTCAGGAAGTGATATTCATAGATACCAATATCTGATTAAACATAAGAAACCGCTTTTGAATTAATAGGTTGGTATACCGGTACTTGTTTCAGGTGCAGTGAAACTTGACTAATTATTTACCCTGCATGGAAACAACATAGAAGTCGCATTACATGGGATGTGATAATACACAGGTCTTGTGTGATAATTCAAATCAGAATTGGGATTACATGATGTATGATAGATTAGACAGTGTTTAATAATACTCAGGTGTCAGATTAAACAGGTTTATCAGTAGTCATTCTTATCTTTATATCAGGCATAACATATTTATGCTGGATTAGACAAGGTGTCATAATACTCAGGTGTCAGATTAAACAGGTCTATCAGTAGTCATTCTTATCTTTATATCAGGCATAACATATTTATGCTGGATTAGACAAGGTGTCATAATACTCAGGTGTCAGATTAGACAGGCTTACCTGTAGTCATTCTTACCTTTATGTCAGACATAACATAGTTATGATGGATTAGACAGGGTGTCATACTATCCGGGTGTCAGATTAGACAGGCTTACCTGTAGTCATTCTTACCTTTATGTCAGGCATAACATATTTATGATGGATTAGACAGGGTGTCATACTATCCGGGGGTCAGATTAGACAGGCTTACCTGTAGTCATTCTTACCTTTTTGTCAGACATAACATAGTTATGATGGATTAGACAGGGTGGCATACTATCTGGGTGTCAGATTAGACAGGCTTACATGTAGTCATTTTTACCTTTATGTCAGACAGTAGAATTCTGTTGTTAGGGTCTTTTTCCAGCATCTTCACTATCAAATCTTTCATCTGTTCTGATAGCGTAGGCCTACAGAAATTATAACAATGATTGTGAAAACGATGTAAAATATTGTAATATGTATTTATAAATATCTGAATTCTTTTACTTTTAACCAAACTTTTACTGTGTGTAATATGTTTTCATCTCGCAACATATCGGGGGGAAAAATTCAGCAAATGTCATATAATTTTAGAGCTATTCCAGAATTGTTTATATATAGGTGGCGTAAGGGTGTGAGAGGGAGCTTCATTCCACTCACAATGTTCAATTAAATCCTGAAACCAGATTATGTGAAAAAGACTTATTTACTGCACAGTCAACAGGTATATCAATATCACAAACAGAAAAGAACAGGTTTATAGACGTTTGAATATTGACTTACACAGAAGGAAAAGTGACAGGGTCATTCAAAATGCGTCGATGCAAACCCATAATGTAGTCATCCTTGGGAGGGAAAGGAACCTGTCAGTGACATAAACATAGCATCAGTTTAATCTATACAAGTCCATGTACAAAACATTAAAGATGGGATCCTGCTAAATTTGAGAAATATTTAAAAATTTAAAGTGTATTTTTAAGTGTCAAAGAATTTTTTTAACGTAAATAGGGCCAATGAAATCAAATTCAAAAGGTGAATGTCAGAAAAAAAAAGTTTTTGCAATTAGTGTGAGCCCATCAAAAGTAGTGGTTGTAAAGCTAGCATTTTAGTCAAATAACTCCCACCTGTAAATCTATTTAAGATTCCATTCAAGGTACAGGTAAAACCTAAGGTACAGTAGACTTTTATCTTGACCCCAGTTTTGCAAAGTTTCTTAACGGAAGTGAATTCCTTCAGGTAAGTTTTTTTTCATTGGAAAGCATTAAAAATATTATAGTCTGGTACTGCTTACAATTCAACCCATTAGATCAATCAGATTACTTCCCATGTCTTATTTTCTGTATTATTTTTAGCAATCTTTAATTCATAACAATGAAGACGATGATAATGCTTTCAGGAATAGAGTGTGTAAGTGCTTTGTGTTGTTCCTCTAACAAAGAAGAGCTCAAATTTGTTTGAGATTTTTGTCACTTGGAGTTACTTGCCCATTTATTAGAGCAAAGAGTAATATTTGAAAGAATCTTACATTTCCACAAAAAGAAACAATCTTGGCTCTTCTTTAAGAATTTTGTCCCTGGACCTCTTAACAAGAGGCCCAATGGGCCTGCATCGCTCACCTGTTATAAATCTCACACTTGTAACCTTAAAAGTGATCTAAAATAAAGCTACAGGAAAAATATCAGTATTTATGATTAAAATTCATTCAAAAGAACCTGTTAATTTCTTTTAAAACATTTCACCCCTGTGATTGAAAGTCGAACAAAGTCATTATGTTGAACAAATTTTATAGCCTTTCATCTCAGGATGCAACTTGCAAAGTATCAACATCCTGGGACCCATGGTTATTCAGAAGAGGTCGTTTAAAGATTTTAAACAAATTTGACCCCTGTGACCTTGAATATAAGTCAAAGTCATTCACTTTAACAAACATAGTAGTCCTTGAT